TGATATCCTACTCCTCCTTGGATATCACGCACCACGGTAAGGAGCCTGCAAGTGATGTATATTAAATGGATGAGCAAAATAGACAAGTGAAATCAACTCAAGAAAGGGGCTTACTGTAAGTTAAGTATGAAGTGGGGACAGTGAGAGGCACCATGGGATCGCCCTTCATAGTATCCCACCTCCTGGCTACCCCAAACCAGGAGTTCCTCTAACCCTTTACCGAAGTGGGTAACCTGGTAACGAATGGGGAATACGACCCCCAGGGCGCCAGATAGTACCAGCCCTTGCTTTCTTCTCCCCCCGCCACACACTTCGGCAAAAAAAGGGAATGGAACATGCTGAACGGCATGTCCACCCCAAGGCTGACCCGACGCCATAACATCCATGTGCCCACCATGTGGGACCACGCATTTGTGTTTAACTGGGTCTGGGCCAACCCGTAAGAACGAAGCACTAACCTAAAAAAAGGATGGAAATGAAGTCTAAGCTAGGCCTTAAGCAAGTTCTCGCTCACAGCCACACACCCTGGCCTCGGGTAGCACGCTATCTCGTGGGGCTTGGGCACTATTAGTTCTATACTCTCAGGGATCTTAAAGATAACCCTGCATCTGTCTAGTACCTTCCTAGTAATGCTGGAAGGATAATTCAAGGCCCCCATTGGACAGAGGTGTCTACAGGAGAGGCTGAACGTTTCTAAATGTTCACCTCAGCCCTAATGGCCCTACTCAGTTCGTTCGACGACAACAACACTGGCTCCATCGGCCTAGAACCTTCCTCACCCCTTCTCTTCTCACTCCCTGAAGCACTCACAGATTGTTCGCTCGCCATGAAAGGATTTTTGGTAGAATCTAAAGAAGGGATGAAGAAACTGAAAATGTGAAGATTACCTAGAAGACCTCAATGAAGAACGTTGTCGACCGCCGGAATAGTCGGTGGAAACGCCAGAGTTTGTTGATAGAACCCGCCAAAAAATGCAAGAAAGGAAATGGGAGATTGCAAGAATTCTTTAGAGGATTTCGCAAAAGTAAACATTTCGAAATGAAAGGAATGAGTCTTTTATAGGCATACCAAACTCGCCCCTAGTCGTTGGATCTCATAAATCAAATCTGGGCCATACAATATTGAGACGCAAGGATCTCCGTTGGAGCCAGAGTCATTTGAATCAACGGTCCTGATGAAGTTGTGAACTCCACGCGCAACCCAAACACGTCGTCTTGAGGAACGAGAACCGTCGCCATCATTACTCTTTATGGCAAGAGAGGCGTACCTTAGAAGCAAGCGAGCACCCCCTTATATTGCCTTGGGAAGACGTGAAAGCCTTCAAATTATTGACACAGGGCCCAAGGCTGCCCCTTCTAAGCCCCCAATCGCGTCTTCTCAGTGTTGCAACAGCTCTCCACAGAGTCGGCAACTTGTATCGCTTCGGCAGCAGTATTGTAACAGCTCTCCACATATTTGCCAACTTGTATCGTTTCAGCAGCAGTGTTGCAACAACTTTCTACAGAGTTGCAAACTTATATCGCTTCGGCAGCAGTGCTGCAACAGCTCTCCACAGAGTTGTCAACCTATGTCGCTTCGACAGTACATCTTAGTGTTGCAGCAGCTCTCCACAGAGTCGCCAACTTATATCGCTTCGACAGCAGTGTTGCAACAGTTCTCCACAGAGTTGCCAACTTATATCACTTCGGCAGCAGTGTTGCAACAGCTTCCCACAAAGTTGCCAATCCTCGTTACTTCGACCTGAGCAGAATTCAAAGTTGCCAGCAGCTCCGTCCCATGCTTCCCCACTTAAAAGTCCTTGTACTATATAAATATATATACATGGACTTGCGGGACTATTGTTATAGGTCTGATACACCTTGACCACCACGTATCAACATACGTGGCCAGTCTACGGATTGGCCGAGGCGATTACACATGGGACGATCTGACTGTACCCACCGAAGTGATTGCCTCTTGGAATGAGCTGCATATGCGTCAGCGAATGAACAGGACTCATCCGGGAATACGTGGTGGATGCAAAGGCCCGCACTCCGCTTCTACAATGTTGCAACCCCCACCTACCTCGCCTCGTCATCAAAGATCTCTTGTACAAAGATCTTTTCAAAGTCGAATCCCTGGTTGACGGGACGTGTGATAGGTCCCCAAACGGTCAATTCAGCTGCCATGTCAGAAAATATTAAATTCTGGCCAGCTTATGGATGGACAAATTGACACCTAAGATGGGACAGATTTTGGAGATCTAGCAACACGTGTCTCCTCATCCAACGGTTCTCCTCTTCCCATCCTTAGGGCACTTTTATTAATATATACATTATCAAACCATTTCTCGGCGAGTGTCCTACAGCCGATGAACCCCTTTCTGGGTAAACATCAAGCTGACTTGATCGTCGGAGTGCTTGCGATCGCTCCCAAGCCCTCCGGGAAAGGCCACGAGCGACTGAAGGCGTGCCATGTGTGTAGGGAGGAGCTGACTTGAAGACTTCTTCTGTTGGCCACGTCCTGACACTGGATTCTTGAAAACAGAAACCATATATAACACCAAATTCACTCAACAAACCCTCCCCCCTCGGCCGCCCAAAAAAAGAACTGAAAATTTTTATTCAAAAAAGTCTTTTTTGTTGACATTTTTGAATTACTGATTGAACTTCTATCGTTGTTTTCCTAGATTTGAGCGAAGGGAGAGTCTCTAGTTTATATAGGAGACGAGGAAGTGGGCGTTGGTGGCAGAGGTTTAGAAAATTTGGGCCATTAACGTGGCTATTGACAAATGGTCAATGAGTAGATGTGTTAGTGTTTGGTTGGATTTTGGTGGAGGTGATGGTGTTTGGTGGTGGTGGGGGTGCGATGGAGGCGGCAGTTGGTTTGGAGGTAAAATTGTGCATGGGAATGGTTTTTTGAACATGAATTTCGGTCGATTTTTAACGTGTTTTGGTTGCTTGTTTGTATAGAATTGTGTAGGGGATGAGGAGGTGTTAGTGGTGCAAAAATTCAATGGTTTTGTCTGCGTGGTGGTCGAACTTGGCAATTTTCAGTGGGGGTGAGTTTTGGAAAGAAGGTGAAGTTTGGTGGGTTATTTACACTTTTTAAAAAGTTTGGGTAAATAGTTACAATTTGGTCAATTGTTTTTCTTTTCTTTTTGTTTCAATTGAATGGATGGTAAAATCGTCAAAACATGGTGAAAATGACCTTCGGCGCACGAAATGTGGAAGGTAAGGGCATAAATGCTAAGAAATGAAAGGTAGGGACGGTTTTCACAATATATGTCAAAGGTATGGATATTTTGTGCCAATTACCCTAAATTAATTTTCAGACAATTGCATTTAAGCATAAGATTGTAGATAATCTATGAAATGATGAAAGTAACTAAAGTTTGATCAAAGTTGAACATCTTTAAATAATGAATTTGATTAGAAAAAAGTTACTCGTCCATGTATAGTATTATTTTATTAAGGGGATGTGTGAATGAAAAAAAAAAAAAATTTAAAAATGCGGCCAAACATGGACTAAATGTACTCTCAAGATGTCAAAACTCACTCCCTACTTGGTTCCCAACTCCCAAGTTGGTACATATTTATGTTAATAAATGAGCCCCCATGTCTATACTTACTTTCACATCCTTTGACTAAGTCCCGTTTGGTGTACATTTTGAAGGTAAAAATGTATTTTTACTGTTGATGTGATATGAAGTATGTGGTCGAAAAAGAATAAAAAGTTATTGATGTGATGAAAAATATTATTTTATTGAAGAATGTGTGGTTAAAAATGAGTAGTAGAATGAGAATGAAAAAAATAATGTGTACCAAACAGGGCCTTAAGTCAAAAAGATGCTTCAAAGAAAATTTTCATATGCATAATATATGTAGCTAGATGAGAACTATACATCACAAACCTTAAGCCCTATATTTCATGTCAAAATATATTTCAGAGAAGAAGAACCGCTCAGGTAAGGATGCTAAGAATGAAAAATGGACATATATCAGTAAGGATCAAACAGGCAAATAAAATACCCAATTCCCCAATATAAAGCTACTGGCGGCAAGAAAGTGTAGGGACCTTATAACTGGATTATGATTTAGTGCTGATGGATTTGAACCATCGAGCTTGAAGAAGATCAGGGGAACATAAAACAAGTAATAAATATAACATTTAAGAACGGTCAATTTAGGTAGTATCTACATTATGTGCCATCAAAGTCAAAATATATAAAGGATAACANGTCGTGGGTTTGGTCATAATGATTGTGGTGTCGATATTTCATTTCACTCATCGGTCGAGGCCTATGAAGTATAATCCAACAATAAACCGATTTAACATCATCGCCCGGATTTATTGGGTATCAAAAAACCCAACACACTCAAAGGCTCGTATACAAAAAAATAATGAAGATCAATTGATACTTCTATACTTTTTATTTACATTTGGATTTTTTACGAATTTTGTATTCTATGACTTCTTATAATCTTTTTGCTCTAGAATGTAGCATTAAACATTTCTACAACAACTTAAAACACTCAAAGGCTCGTATACAACATTATGGACTTTGGTCATTTTGCATACATGCTTCCACATTTTAAAATAATACGATTTCGGTAGAAATGGTTAGAAAAGGAAGTGGAAGATCGAAATATGAACAATTGTGATTATTAAATAATAATCTAGTCACTTTCAATCTTTTTGTTGAACAATAAATTAAATTTATGTTTGAATACAATTTATAAAGTAATTTATAAATTAAATCAAAATTAATCAATAATTTCTACTATCTATTCATAAATATTACTCTATTATTATTCACATATTTAAATTTGCCCGTGGAAGGCGAAATCAATTGATTGGAAAAATACACGTCAATTCTGGTCTGGCGCTCCTAGTATCTTTCACTATTTTGAATCTCTGCTGTCCTTTCATCACTTCAAATCTAAAAAGAGAAACATATTCCCTCTAGAAAGAGTGAAAAATCCTAAGACAAGAGAGTAAATTTCGGGTCATTTCTTGCAATGGCGTTCATATCTTTCCTTGGAAGAGTTGTCTTCGTCTCTGTCTTCGTCCTCTCTGCGTACCAAGAGTAAGAACAAATTCTACGACTTGGATCTGCAGTTTTTTTTTTACATTTACTGTAATTAATTATGTAAAAGTAAATTTCTATGATTCTTGTGCAGTTTTCTTGAAATGTGGAGTAAAAGAAAATGTGGGATTTGATTTAGTTCCTGCTTTTTAAGTTGAGATTTGAACTCTGCTATTGTGTACTTTGGATCTGATGTTTTCTTGAAAGATCTTGCTATAAACCCCAAAAATTTATTGTTAGCTTTGCCTTTTTTAAGTTCCAGTTTCCTCAATTCTGCTTTTACTTTTTTTTTTTGGAGTAATTTATTTGCTCTGATTAAAAATAGAACCTCTGAAATAAAAATACGATCTTTGCCAAATTTTGGTGAATCAATTGTACCATTGTCAGTTTAAAATAAAATCAACTTTTTCATCCAATCTTTTCCCTTCGCAACATTTTATGTAATCCTCGTTAGCATAATCTGTTATATATTTATACAATAAATATAATATGTGAAAGAAATAATTAATTAAGATGAAGTGTCCAACTGGTGAAAAGTGTGGAATTTGTGTGGGAGGTCAGGTGTTCGAGACACGCCTCACGCACTATATTAAAAAGTCTTTGAAGGCCTTGGGCTCTTGGGCTTTATTGATTCTAATAAAATAATTGTTATTTTTTTAATTATTTTTGGAATTATTTATTGGGTCAACTAGCCAGTAGAATATGGCAGTTTTAACTGCCCAATATTAATACCCATTACCATTGGCCATTACATCTGCAACTTAATACTAGATCATGGTGGAAGAAGTTACATCTCTTTCTGCCTATATAAACACACTTTTGGGTATTAGAATATTATAAGAAAAACGAGATTATATATTTCTATACAGAAAAAATATTGTACTTAGTTTTACATATTTCTGGAGTACACTTGAGAGTTCTGAAAACCTTTTGTGATTGCTGCACAATTGGTGTATTTGATCGTTGTATCCTGGAGGTGATTGTCCACAGAGGTCGCAGCAGTTATCGACGGGCAATTTCGCTTTAGGACATCGTGCTGTCACGAGACTCGATCTATTGATAATTTTTTCTGCACTTTACTATTATTTTATCCAACATAATCCATTTCTTTTAGAAAGGAAAAATTGTGGTGTTTCCGGCTACTGATAATAGTTTAGCTATTTCGTATCTTTAATGAATTAAGATTGTTGAGAAATTCAACTTCAAGTTGATATATGTACTTGAAGTTAGGTTCGATCTAGAACACAAGGTTTCGACATAATGTATAGGGATATAAAACGAAAACTGGAGCCTCGGTTCCTAACTTTGGGGTTATTGGAACTTGGACCTCCGATCATTTTTTGAGCATTTGGGTCTCCAAGCTTCAAATTGTGTAGCAAAGGGGTCGCTTTGGATTGCTGTTAAAAATAGGCACAAATTGATTTGTTAAAATTGCTAGCTGTTAACGAATATTTCTTTTGGTTCTCGAGTCGGCAATTGTTGATTAGTGTAATAAGTATGGCAAGTTCGAATATTTTGATGTTCATAGAATCGTCATAACACGTCTGAATTTGGAGGTGATATGTTAACATTGGGGATTGCTACGTAGTGATAGAAAACAGTAGGAAACAAGAAGATTTTGGAGAATAAAAAAATTGTTAATATATTCATTGGATGTGCACACTTTCTTATTGTATGTCCACTACTGTAAAATTTGTCCAAGGCAGCCTCTAACTTCTTACTTTGCAATGTGAGTTCAGGTAAGTTGATAAGTCGAGTTCTGTGGCAATCCATAACACTCCCACCATCCACAACTAAATGCTCTCAATTGCCATTCAATGTCCAATGGGCAGTTTTCCAGAGCTTTGTTTAATAGTATTTAAATGAAACTTCCTCAATATACAAATTCTTGTCTCGAAAATTAATTATTGAGAAATTACTTATTGAAATGATCTTCCTGATTGAAACTGTCAAAGTGGGAGCTTTCAGTTTTGCATGGAGGGATTATTATATTTTAAATTTTATTTGCAAAAGATGATACACTTCTTGTAGGAAGAGGGTCGTATATCTTAGCCTCTTCGCTTACATTTGACACATTTGAGTACTCTAATGGATTATTGTCTTTATTTATGCATCCATTTTAAGGTATATTTATCTGCTTGTAGGTTCAATGAATTTGGTGTTGATGGTGGGCGAGCGGCAAAGTCTTTTAGGCCAAAGTTCGACATTTTCGCCAAGCATGTTACGACCCACACCGGATTTGAAGTACCACCTGTAGAAGTAAGGAGCACTTCTCCATATCTTTGCTTAATTTGCAAAGCACACGATAGCATTATAGACCTTGTAATATATATGCCCAGTGTTGAATATTAGAGTAGCTAAATAAATAAATGCATTTAGTCTATATCAACCTTTAAGGAGGTGATTTAACATGTTATTCGAGCATGCAAAAGACACGAGTTCAATTGTTGCCACCACTTGTTTATGGAAATTGTTGCACATTTTAAACCTTTGATAAAAAAATTATCCCATGCATATTTGAGGAGGAATATTGAAGACTAAATTTAAATGAAGATAACATGCTACCAGCTTCCTTTATTTATATCCATATTACGTTTTGGTCTGTACTTTGGTGCGGACGTCCCCACATGATTAGAGATACAAGGATTGCCTATCCCTTTGAGGGAGACCATGTGTAATAGTTTAAGTTTTTAGATGAGGTGGTTCAACATTCGTTAATTTGGAGATTTGTTGTTTGCAGATGAAAAATTTAGTCTTGGGTGCCATCATTATGAAGGGACTCGGAAGCCTGTTGTTCATTTTTGGCAGCTCTCTTGGAGCTTTTATCCTTGTATGTCTATTAATCCACGCATTCTTCCTTGTCTCGTTGATTTGATCATTTTAACCTAGTCTCTCTGTCTCTAACTCTCTGTCCCCATGCAGCTTCTGCACCAGGTAATTTCGATCGCCATCTTATACGACTTCTATAACTACGATGTTGATAAGAAACAATTTGTTGAACTCTTCGTGAAGTTCACGCAGGTTAGCCAATTTAACACGATTCTAAACTCGTAGATTTTCTTTTCAAAATTCTGTACAAATCTGTTTGTTTAAGTGATTATATTCTGTTGTGTTGAGATGATTGAATTTTTTTTTTTAAATGTTTTAATCAGGGTTTGGCACTTCTTGGTGCTCTGCTCTTTTTCATCGGGATGAAAAACTCAATATCGAGGAGATCGTCTAAGAAGAAGGTGAAAATGACTTAGAGAGGATATTGAAGTTCAGATTTGATAACGGCTACAATATTCCTGATTATTATTTGTAGCAGTTTTTGTAAGATTGTATCATTTGCAGCACAGATGTGCCTTAATTCAATTTATTGTCCTATTTAACATGTTTAACTTAAAGTCTAAGTTTAAGTGAATTCCTTTTGTAAGTCTTGAAATTCAGAAATTAGTCGTAGACAAAAGACAGATTGGCTGTATATTTCTTTGCTTGGTTTTCTTTGTTTAGTTTTAAAATTTTGGCTAATTTTAAAATAAGAAAATTATACTCACGACATTTAAAGCTAGAAAGAAATCGTCAAACCGCTTAGTATCTGTCGGATAATATGGTATTATAAATCATTTTATATGTCTTCTGTTCCCTTTGTTTATCTCTTGACATGGAAGTTAAGACAAAAAGAATATCTGTCTAGAGCAGGACCGGCGAATTAAGATTGTTTGATGATTCAAAAGCTGGTGTTAAGGGACTTGTGGATTCTGGGATATTGAAAGTACCTTGTATTTTTGTTCATGATGATCAAGTTAAGCAAATTGGGGAGATATCAAACTGTAATGTTCCCATCATTGACTTTGACCGAATTTATACATACATGGCTAGGCTCAATGTGATTACAAAGAGAATTTGAGATGCTTGTGAAAATTTTGGATTTTTTCAGGTGATCAATCATGAGATTATGTTAAGTATATGAAAAAAATTGTTATAAACAACGAAGAAGATACTTGATTGCTCTAGTACCAATTTGTTGTAATAATATGCAAGAGAAAATATGGCACAATATGAAGTAATTGATTACAAACTCAAAAACAAACTAATTTGCACAGAAAATGAGAACTCACTAAAATATGAAGAAAGAATACAATGATTTTGTGTTTATAATTTATCTAAGTTAATCTAGGGGCTGTCTGGCCCGGCCGAAAATCAGAATTCAATACGTTGGCAGCTATTTTACATACGTTGGCAGCCGCAACTTTTGACCCTCCTTCTCACAAAGCAATTTTCCATACGTTGGCAGCCGGAACTTTTGACCCTCCTTCTCACACTTGGCCTGCAGGTTGGAAAAAAAGGGTAGAAAAATCAATTGTTTGGCTCAACAAAATCGATGCCAGACAGGGCCCTAAAATATGATAAAGAATTATATATATATATATATATATATAGTGAACAAATAAGGGACGTTCAAACCTAATTTTGGTGTTGCAGTAAAATCAACATTGAAAACGGATTAGGACACTGAAATTCCGCACAGGTGGTGCCTAGGCGCCACCCATGTAGCGCCCTGAGTTTTGTTAAAAATCCTCCAAGGGTATTTTTTTTTTTTAGTCTTTTTAAGTCCAACATATTGGACTTTCAAATAGAACTTCAAATAGAATTTGTCAAATAAAGATTTCAAAAGCATCCCAACAAAGAATTCGACTTTAATTAGAATTTCCAATTATTTTCAAAATAGAATTTGGGCCACACTCCAACTCCAACAGAAACGATTATTGGGTACGAGGTTTTCGTGAACAAGAAACCGAGGTAAAGAAATAGTACTATATGCAAGACGACCATGCTAGTTGTACAATTTCGGTTGACAACCACTCACATGGGGGGTCCACTTTTTTGTTGTTGAATTTTTTAAACACGCAGACCTCGCACACATGTGAGAGGTTGTCAACCTCGATTGTACAAGTAGAATTATCCATATGCAAGATGTTGCAGAAGGGTATATATAGAACCATGCTGCAGGTACAGGGCCGACGTGGCCCTGTACGTGCAGCATTATTCTTATATATAATAGCAATTTTGATATTTACCAAGCCCCGACCGCTAATTGGAGGGATATCGTGTCGTGTATTGAGGCTCCTAATCCACCAGAAGCCAAAGATTTGCCTCCAATTTGCAGGTATATGCTCAACTTCTTTGGGCTAATTTGTTTAGAGCCTAGTCGTGCTCTACGATTGGATATTAAGGGCATACATCAGATGATGGAAAGGATTTTAGAGAGTTTGGTTTTGAGTTTAGGGGAGACATGAAAAGATAAAAACTTTGTACTCTTGTGCTCTTGTATAGCGAATATGGCAATTGAACGTCATTGAATCTTGGGATTCCAACTTAAAGTGCCAGCTATTAAGAACCCAAGCTCTAATAGGATGACTATTATTTTCTCATTTAGCTAACGTAGGATTTTACTTTTAATATGTCCCACAAGATACTGATTTGTTTGAGAACTCTTGAAATCTCAGTGTTCGAGCTTTTATTTTGATATGATTTTTTATTTAAGGTTTTGGGATTCCATCTTAAAAGGTCATTTTTTCCTCGTAGGAGTAGCCCAACCGTATACGTAGGCTATTGTTTTCGTATAATTCATCGCATTGATGTAAACCAAGATTGATATGTGTGTTAGTTTTGCTTGTTTTCAAATTCTCATTCAGTTTATTATTGCTCTCATAAGAAGTGATTACGGTTTAGTCGGGTCCTGACATAATTGACAATGAGTCCACGTTTCTGTTTTCGCGATAGTAATCTTTACTGATTATTTGCATTTACCCAATTTAGAAGGAAAAGTCTCTCCATTTAAACAATTATCTGTTCTTAATTGCTTTTGTGGTTATGTATGTCTTTTGCTTAGGTAAGGCCTAGCATGATTACTTATTTATCATAATTCAATCTATAGACTCCCTTCCCATTGTGCATTAAGCATTACAAATTTTGCTACTTTGTCATTCAAATTTATGTTTTAATTGCAGACTCTGTAGCACGGACACTTCAATAAGGGTAGCGTGTCCGTATCCGACACGTGTCGGACACGAGTCGATACCGACACTTTTTGGACACTCTACCTTATTCATTTTTCTTTTTTATATTAGAAATATTATATATTGTTAATTCAAAATTATTAGCAAGTAACAAATAGATACTCATATTTAAAAGATTTTAACAAGAAAAATTAATAATAAGTATAAAACTAAATTTATACTATATAAATGAAAATTTTTTAAGAATTTAATTAACGTGTAATGACGTGTCGTGACTATACTTTTTTTAAAAATCGCGTGTCGACACGTATCGTGTCTGACACAAGTGTCCGTGTCGATGCAACATAGATTGCAGAGATATGTTTTTCGAATATTCGGACTACATGATGAAATTTGGGCGTAATCTGCTCGAGCTCCTTCACGAAAATCAATAGGTATCATTGCTGATCTGTTGCAGACGAGACTAAATAAATTTTTCATCATTATTTTTCTTACATATTTTGAGGTTATTCAGACAGACAAACTGAAGGTGTGTTTGGTAGGGATTTTTGGGGGAAGAATTGATTTTTGAATAGTGATATGATGGGAAATGTGTGGTTTAAAAAGAAGAAAAAAGTATTGATGTGATGGAAAATATTATTTTATTGAAGAATGTGTGGTTGAAAATGAGAATTGATTTACTGTAGAAAATGAAAATCTGTACCAAACAGGCCATTATCTCTTCATTGGAGTATAATTTAGTGGTTTAAAAAGAAGAAAAAAGTATTGATGTGATAGAAAATATTATTTTATTGAATAATGTGTGATTGAAAATGAGAATTGATTTACTGTAGAAAATGAAAATCTGTACCAAACAGGCTCTGATTCTTCCTAACAATCATTTCTCTAGTTCTCAGCTTATTACCTATGACAAGTTCAAAAGTGTCAATCATTGAGTACTGACAAAGAAGATAAGCCCAAGAATAACGGTGGCATCTTTCTTCAGAACACATTTTAGAGAAGTGATTGCATCAAAAGTTTACGGACCGATGATGGAACTTTTGTCCGAAGAAAATCCCCAAATTTACCAGGAGATAACCACAAAGGAATACCTCACACATTACTACAATAAAGGGCTCAATGGTACCTCTGGACTGTCGCGTTATAGAATCCGTTAAAGACATGGCGATCTGAATTTTCGTTTAGATTATTACTGTATATGCTTTAAGCTGTCTATGTACCGTTGAAGACGTTATTGTAGTTAATAACATTGAATGAATACAAAGTTGTTTCCGTGGTTAGAAGTTATGTTAATATACATTTGACGTTTATAGAAATCAAATTTCTCCTGCTTGGTCATTCACAAGGACAAACACATTACATAGATAAGAAATATTACTGATTCAAAATTTAGACTTGAAGGATGTTATAATTTACTGGATGATCCGTAATTAATAGGACAATAAAGGGCTCGATGGCATCTCCGAAATCTTCTCGGAGCTTTAATTCTCATTGCCGGAGTGTCATCTATCGTATTCCTACCAAGTCGCTCGAATACATTAAAGCCTCGTTTCTACTATTCTATTGTAGTTGTTATGGTGTGACGTCTGAGGTTACATAATTATGCATAAATGGTAAATCAAATTTAAAAAAAAAAAGGGGGGGGGGGGGGGGGG